AAATCATGGAGTCACTCTGTGCCTCAGTTCCCCTTCTGTAAGATGGGGATAACAAAACTTCCTTCCTCACAGGGAGATACAGGGATCAATACACTGGGGATTGGGATGTGCCCATGAACGATGACAATGGGAGTCAGACGCCAAAGACAGACTTAGAACATGTCAGTCTCTGCTCAACTCTGCATCACGGGGTGCATCTACACATGTGAAGCAATAAACTCTGCAGCAGTTTGAGCCGGAGTAAACTACTCCCAGGAGCACTGTTTACATGAGTACCCAGGACAGCAGCAATTGGAGCAAGGGCAGAGTAGGCCCAGGCTGGCAGGGGGCATGGAGAAGTCAGCCCCGGGCTCTGGGTGGTGGTGTTGGGTGGCAGAGGGGATGGCTTGGGCATGAGAGTGCTGCAAGTGCAGAGCTGTGCGGCTAGGCAGCAGGCAGGAGTCTGGCCCCAAGCTGGGCGGGCTGACTGGGTGCAATTTACACCCACGGTCAGCATTTACATGTGTTTAATTGCAGTAAATTACCCCAGCGTGCGATAGTGTTGTCCCCGACAGTAGTATCTTACTGTGGCATTCATTAGTTTACTGTGACTTAATACTGTTGCATGTGTAGATGGTGATGCTTTACTCTGCAGCTAATTAGCCTACTCCACAGTAAAGCACATGTGCAGATGTGGTCAGCGAGACCCAAACTAGGTCTCAAATCACGGACCATTTAGCTTGTGCCTTCTGGCTCTCCAGGCTGTAACTCATGGAAGTGCTTGTTAAGTCTTCTAAATGTGAGGCATGTGTTGAATACTGGCAAGGGTGGTGCCTCGCCCCACCTGCCCCCTTCCCACTGTCTCGTGCCTGCACTCACTGTGTCTCCATGTCTATCCAGTCTGACGGTTGATGCTCTGGAGAGCAGCACTGAGCAAGCAGAGCTCACCCCTCTGGGGCCGGCCCCAAGGTGGGTTTTCAAGTCCCACCCTGCATTCCAGAGAACAACAGCTCAGCGCCTGCATACACAACCAGGAATCCTGCACGCAAGCCCCACCTCGCCCGCTGCAGCAAGGATTCATCCCTGCATTCATTTCAGGCAACTGCAGAGCTGTGCCACTTATATTCTCTCCTCCACGGGGAAGGGCTTTTACAACAAGTTCCCCTCCAAATTCCTTTGAAGACACTTTGCTGGAGTTTGTTTAGAGCCAGCCCTAGCGGGTTAATAATAGCACCTGTCTTTATGGCATGGGCCCAATATCAGCCCCAACCCTGCCGATGGGGAAAACAGAGGCAAAAAAGTTTTAAAGTGGCCTCTGATCCCTATGTGCTGCCCATGTTATGCTTCATTTAAGAAACCTGGGCCTGGTGTTCAGAAAGGTGGAAAGATACTATCAGGTTTGTTCGATAATGAAGACCACAATCCTGCCAGGTACCACTCCTGAGCCCCTTGAAGTCAGGGGAAGCTTGTGTGGACTCAGGGGGACTGCACAGGGCAACGTGCAGAAGCAGGAGTGTCAGGGATCCACCTTTAGACATCCTGGCTCTATTCTGAATTTAGTGACTTGCTTGGGGTGAGATTAGCAGCCAGATGTGAGCAATGGCATTGTTTAGTGGGTAAGGCATTTGACAGACACTCAGGACGTGTGCTCCAGGAGGCGGCGGAGGGAGAAGCGGGGACAGGACACTTTAATTGCAGCAGCTCCGAGTGCCTGGAGTGTCATGTATATCAACGTCCCCGTGCTGAAAAATGGTGGTGGAGGAGCTTTAGTTGGAGCTCATCAGATGAGCTTTAGTTAAAGCACCCCTGCTGCCATTTTTCAGTGCAGGGACACTGATACACATGATGCAAGAGTCTGCTGGAGCATGGTAATTACCATGCTCAATTAATCGAGTCTGCTCCAATGTGCTGCTCCAACGTGCTGTAATCAGAGTGTGTCAGAGCAGCCTCGATGCAGGTGTATAGGTACCCTTGGGTTCTACTCCTGACTCTGCCACTGACTTGCTGTGTGGCCTCGAGCAAGCCACTTCATCTTTCTGTTTTGTCTATTTGCAACGTAGACAATTTGCAGGAAGCCTTGTCTCTTCCTATGGACATGTACAATGATTAGCAGGAAAAAGCCCTGTATCCAGAGAGGGTCCTAACCCCTACCATAATGCAAAGTGACATTACTAAGAATTCCTCTTTATTTACTGCACTGCATCTCTTCTTTAGGAATTACTACACAGCAGCACGAAAAAAAAATGCTTTGACTGTTTAGACTTTTTAAAATGACTTTTTCAGTCATTATTGTAACACCACAAATATTTGATCTAAGATTGTTTCATGCTCAGACTTCTTCTGACGCCAGGCAGGTAGCATTCTGGTTCTGACAAATTTTCAGGAGGAAATCAACTTCACAGTAAAGGACGTGCTAATATTTAAGAATGAAAACACATGAAAAGCAAAACCAAGGAAATTCAGAACACCGGAGCAGTAGAGGGAATAAAATGTAGCTGATGCTGTTACAGAGTCACTTAGTGGTCAGCCCTTTGGGGGAAGGACTTTGCTTTTATTCTGTTTGTACAGCCACTAGTACAACCGGGTCCAGGATTGTGGCTCACAAGTGCTACCCACAAGACAAGTAAATGAATAATGATCGTACCTGACAGCAAAAGCGGGATGGCCTTAGTGAAAGGTGAGATTACTAGCAATCACATCATGGCCCACAACATGTAGTAGTTTTGCAAAGGTCCCGAAACACTTTATACATTCCCTGCACAGAGATCACTGCTGCCACCGCTGAAATGGAGCCGCCTCTGGAAGGCAGCAGAGTCAGAGACTGCCGGCCCGCCACTGCAATCAATCCACATCTGGGGTGGAAAAGAGTGGCTGCTTCGGTCCAGAATTCTGCAGCCACCTCTGCGGTGGGACATGGCACCGGTTTACCAGCAAACAGCCCACAAGAGTTTAGGTCAAGGAGTGAAGAATACAATCTCCAGCTGGAAATGCAAGGGGGATATAACAAAAGTACGTGTGCTCTGAAATCTGGGCCCAGCTACACTCCAGTCCATTAGCTCACAAAGTAAGTTTTAGTTTGCATTAAGTTAATTTTCCTTGCATTGAAACGACCTGCATTCACTCAAACCATGAGAGTAGGTATTAACCAGCGAGATCATGCATATTCTATACTCCTGTGCAAAAGCATGCGGAGCGCATTGCACCAGGGATAAACTTGGCCCCTTTTGTGTCTTGCTTTGACAGCATATGCAATAGGGTGTGCTTCACCTTTAGCTGTCAGCTTCCTGCCCCAAATCCTCTCTCTCGATCAGCTCTCTAATGTCGCTTCCACAGCTGACTATCCGTGGAAGTCTATTACCAAGGAACGACAGCCAAGTTCCTCCAGATGTACGCAGCGGCCACGGAAAAGTCCCCGAGACTCCAGCCCAGACAATCCCTCTTTTCAGCAAAGGCATATAAAAAGTGACGGCGCTGCCCTTGTATCTTTGACGGGACAGCTTTCCCAGACGCACGCACAGCGGAGAGGCAATTAGACAGCAGGTAATATGGGAGGAAAGGAATGTTTCTTACTCATCCAGTAACTTGCTCATTGTCAATTAGTGGAGCGTCATCCCTTACTAGGCTGTAATGCCCCTCCTCACGTGCACAATAGCTCCTCGCCAGGAGAAGGTTTTAGCACGGCCAGCGTGTTGCAATGGACACACCGTGATGCAGCAGAACAGTCCCAGGCTCTCACGCGGCGTGGCATTTCACCAGCTCTAGCCCCGATCCACATGGGAGGAGGAGGTGGAGGTGAATGCCCAGTCCTTACAGAGCGGCACTTACTCACTTGAGTAATCTCATTGAAATCTAGAGCACCGAGTGCTGCTTGCTATAAAGGGGGAAGGATCAGGCGCTTACCAACCACAACACCCTCACCTCAAAATTATTTGCTACAAAAGCGCCCATCTCCTGTGATGTGAACCACAGTCTGTAGCTAATGCAGGGGTACTGGTGAGATCCCTCCCCAGCCAGCAGCCCAGAGCCCCTCTGTGGACTGTGGCCTAAAACCACTGAAGGGTTTCCAAGCACAAGCTTTCTGGTGTACAGCTGGGGTGGGAGGATGTGAATACATTTCATCAGATCAGGACCCAGGGCGAGAGGGGAGGCTGCATCCTGCGTGGAGCTGGCGGGGGCCCAACACCACGCGGTGTCTGAGAGGAGACAAAAGTCCTTATGAAGAGCAGGAGCTCCAGGGCAGCTGTAGCAGGGCTCCCCCAGCGCCAAAGAGAGGTGGGGGGGGAGAAACCTGAGCCCCCTCTTTCCCCCTCCAAAGCATTTATGTCCTGCACAGCCAGCCAGCGAGCAGGGAGCGTGCACAATAGTGCCTTTGGAGAGAGTGAAAACGGGAAAGGAAATGGTGGGCTTAAGGCTGGAGGTGAGCCCCTCGCCAAGCAGTCTCTGCAATGTTCGGTCTGCTTGCTCTTTAACCCTTTCAGGCCTTGCCGAGTAAATGTTGCCTCCACACTCACTCCCCCCTCTATGCCTGGAAAACATCCAAGCCTGGTCCTCAAATCCCCCAGTGCCTTTGCTCCAGCTGTTCCAGGCACTTTGCAAAGTTTGGTGAGAAATGAGAAAGTTGCAGGCGCTCGGGTTGGAGATCTATCCTACAGCTGCATACGGAAGCTCCTGTCCTCCCTGTACATTCGCACCCAGGGCCGGATCCTCCATTGGCGTAAGCGAGCATAACCCCACTGGCTTTGCTGGACCCACGGGGAGCAGACTCACTGGTGCACGCTTGCCTGATCCAAACTGGTGTCTCTACACACACCTCTGACACCAAGCCGATTTACTCCACCTGAGGATGCGGCCCACGGCGTGCTCCAAGAGTGCCAGCTCTCACGCTCATCGAGAAAGGGGGACAAACATGATGTACATGAACCAGAAAAGGGACCGGGATGCTCGGGGCTCCTGTGGATGGCACCAGAAAGACAAATCCCTCCAAGTCTAAGCAGAGCCAGACAAAAGCCCTGCGTGCTTACCTGTGTGAGGGGGCAGGAAGGGCGTCTGATCCGCCGCGGGGTCTCCATTGAGCGAATCAGAACGGCTTGAGAGATTGCTGCTCACCTGGGACATCTGCCTGGGACCTGAGAGAGACGGGGAGGGAGCCAGGGAGGGAGAGAGGGGGACACTCATTGAAGGTGGCTAAAGAGCCCCAGCCATGAAGAACGCGGAGAGGGAATGAATCAGCGTGAAGCCTTTAGGTGGAGAGAGACGAAGGAAACCACGCAGCACCAAGAAGGCACGGGGCAGGTCGCCGCTGCCCCGAACGTGGCGTCTGCAGGCGCAAAAGTTTGTTCGATTGTTCACTGCAAGAAACTCCAGCTCCACACACAGGCTTCCCCACACACC